AGGGACATCTCAGTCTGCTTCTTCCCATTACTAACAAGATGGAGTGTCTTCTCAGACTCGTCCGTGTTCCTCTGTGAGTCGCCTGTTCATGGCCTCTGCACATTTTCGGCTAAAAATCCATTTGTCTCTGTTTTCCCCGAGGTCCTCCAGCGCCTGAGCTGCATGGCCATCAAGGGGGAGATGTTCGTGGTGGCCAATCTTGGGACGAAGCAGCCTTGTCACAGCAGTGACCTAGGGTGCCCCGACGATGGGAGGTACCAGTTTAACACGAACGTCGTGTTCAGCAGTAACGGGACCCTCCTCGCCCGCTACCGGAAACACAACCTCTACTTTGAGGCAGCTTTTGACACGCCCCCGACGGCAGACCACGTCACGTTCGATACCCCCTTTGCGGGCAGGTTTGGCATCTTCACCTGCTTTGATATCTTGTTCTTCGAGCCGGCCGTGCGACTCCTCAGAGACCCCGAGGTGAAGCACATCGTGTACCCGACCGCCTGGATGAACCAGCTCCCACTCTTGGCGGCCGTCGAGATCCAGAAAGCCTTTGCCCTGGCCTTCGGCGTCAACGTCCTGGCGGCCAACATCCACCACCCGTCTCTGGGGATGACGGGGAGTGGCATCCACAGCCCTCGGAAGTCCTCTTGGTACCATGACATGGAAGACCCTGAAGGTCACCTTGTAATTGCTCAGGTGCCCAGAAATCCGCTGGGTCTCACTGGCACAGAGAACGCAGCCAACACAGCGGACCCCGCCCACGCGGAGTTTCTGAAAATCCTGTCCAGCCATCTGTCCTGTGAGAAGGACGCACAGGAGGTCCGCTGTGCTGGGGCCGCCATGCCGGACGCAGACGCGCCCCCGGCTTTCCACGCCGAGATGATGTACGACAACTTCACGCTGGTCCCCGTGTGGGGAAAGGCCGGCCATCTCCAGGTCTGCGCCAATGAGCTCTGCTGCTCCCTGCTTTACGAGAGGCCCGCCCTGTCCGGGGAGCTGTACGCCCTGGGGGTCTTCGACGGCCTCCACACCGTGCACGGCACCTACTACGTGCAGGTGTGCGCCCTGGTCAGGTGCGGCGGGCCGGGCCTGGACACCTGCGGGCAGGAGCTGTCCACGGCTGCAGGGCTGTTCGAGTTCCACCTCTGGGGCAACTTCAGCACGCCCTACATCCTGCCCGTGCTCCTGAGCTCAGGGGTCACGCCGGAGGCGCCCGACCGGCTGGGCTGGGAGCGCGGCCAGTACTTCCTGAGCAAGCGCAGCCTGTCGTCAGGGCTGGTGACGGCGGCTCTGTACGGGCGGCTGTACGACAGGGACTAGACCGGCGTGGGGCCACCTGTCCCCTTCTGTCACAGCACCTCCTGCCCTGGGAGCTGCGGGAGGAGGAGGCTGGACAGTCCCTCAGTCTCTTCCTTTCCCATGTAAGTTACGAGACATTTTCTGGTGTTTTCTATTCACACTTGCCTTTTTCAAGCCACGCCTCCCCGTAGCAAGCCTCTCCGCACACGGTAGGCTGTGAGTGCTGGGATGAAATAAATGGCCACCAAGCCGAGGCGTGGGTGTTCTGTCCCTCGTCAGTCGTAAGTATTTCAGAAGCCTCGAACCGTCCAGACGGTGGAAACCAGCTTTGTATTAGCATGGTGGCCACGGGGACCTTTCGGGCCTGGCCAGCTGGAGCCCGTCCAGGTGACATGGTGTCCCAGGCCACCTGCGATGTAAGGAACGGAGATCTGGAACCCCCTCTGAAAACAGAAGTCTCTCTCAGTCTGCCTTTGAGTCCGTGAGGGGAGCGTGTGGGCAGGGCCCGGGTGGGCAGGCCGGAGCCGGCTGGGGAGGTCTGGGGAGGCCTGCTCTTTCTGTACAGCATCTGGCCCAGCTGTGCGGAGAGGACTGATCCAGCGTGATCTGGCGTGGGGTCCCCCGGGGGGCCTCCCCTCTGCAGTGAGGCCCAGCACCCCATAAACCAAACTTGCCGGAACTGCTGTGGGGCCGCCCTCCGTAATGTGCGTTTATTTTACTGCTCATGGGCATTTTGGGGCCCCCCGTCCTGGTCCCAGATGAGGACCCCCCGTTGAGGGTGGTGAAGACAGCTGTCGGCGGGCGGTTTCTATGTAGCTGGTACCCGGCAGGATTTCGACTCCACGCCGTCTGGCTCGGGCCGTTCGCAGGGCAGAACGGGCCGTTGTCTTGTGCTATTTGGCTGTAACTCTTTTTAAATTAAACGGTGGATGCTAAAAACAAATGTAAAAACTGGAATTGTATTAACGTAAGAGTGCAGTTCTCTCCCCGTAGCCTTCCAGACCCTTCCGTGGCTTTTAGGCTGGAGAATTAAGAGCTTGGATCCTAGCGTCCCCTGCCAGGGTTCACACTGGCGGCCTGGCCATTTCCTCTCCTGGGGGCCCAGGGCGGGTCATGGAGCCTTCCCTAGCCTTGGCCTCAGAGAATGAATCAGCCCGCTGGGCCCTGCTGACTCAGGGCTGCCTTCAAAGCCCTGGCTGAGTCACATCCTCAGGCACCGGCAGGAACCCCACAGAATTCCTGAGGAAGCGTGGGACGGAGCCGGGAAGTCTCCCTGGAGTGGGAGGGGACAGTGCTCTCCACCCTCCAGCGCAGGCCTGGGTGAGCTCCAGATGTGGTCGTCCATGCCCACGCCCTTCCCGGAGACGGAGCCGGCCACTGGCTTCAATTGCATCCTGGGCCTTAGGGACTGGGACGTCCGGATCAGCCCGAGAGACGGCCGGTGGTGCCTCAGGGGTCGCCAGCTCTGCCCGGAGGCCTCCCTGAGCCCAACAGGCCTGCGGGTGCCCCCGGCTGAGCATGGCTAAAGCAGTGATGGGTGACTTGGTCGAAGTCCCATAGAGACTGTTGTCTCTGTCTCTCAGGAGAAGATTCTCAAAACAAGACAGCGGCCTGAGAGGCCAGTCCTACAGGCCCGCACTCTGCCCTGGAGAAGCACGGGCCCCCGCCCCAAGGCACTGACATCCAGGACGGGCTGGTCCTAAGACAAGTCACTTGTGGGGAGCCAGGGCTCACCACTAGTCAGTTGAGAAGTGGCAGTGGCGTCCTGAGGGCAGAGCCAGGTGGGGACCACTGGGCCACAGAAATGAGGTCAGGACACTGGCCGACTGCGACGTGCCAGTCCATCCCAAAGGCAGAGAGCCGCACTCTGGCCACACGGGAGCCAGGAGGGCAGTCTGTGGAGCCGTGGGCCTGGGAGGGAGTGGGTGGGCCACACGGGCCAGTGGGTCTGTCGGACTCGGAGGAAGTGGGCCGGTCCACGTGGGTCTGTGGGACTCGGAGGAAGTGGGCCGGTCCACGTGGGTCTGTGGGACTCGGAGGAAGTGGGCCCGTCCACGCGGGTCTGTCGGACTCGGAGGAAGTGGGCCGTCTGCTGGTTCCGGGCCAGTGGGATCTGAACGGTCAGAAGAGTGTCTGGCCCCACTCTGCCTCCCAAGATGCCGACAGTCCCGTCAGTCCTGAGCTTGGCCCTGCTCCTTCCCTGGAGCTGGGTAGGGCGGGCAGAAGTGACGCTGTGAGACGCCTTTCCGTGGCTGTGACAGATGGGCACCCTGTAAGCCTGGTCTGCAGAGGCCAGGCCCCCGGTGGCTATGACCTGCTTACCCAGGAGCCCACCCCCGCCCAGCACCTGTCGGTTAAACGATGCCAGGCTGCCCCGTGGCAAGGAGTGGTGGAGTGTGAGTGCCACAGGGGCCGTTGGGGGGTGATCTCTCCCTTCCCCTCTGGCAACCGTGCCACCCTGTAGCACACTTAAAAAGCAATTTGCTACTCAGTTTTCTCTCTGGACCATCCACACTACAAGGGCATCACGAAAAGATTCTGGACAGAGCAGCAGCACCAGGCACGCCCGTGGGGAAAGGGAGGAGGGCGGCAGACGTGCTGGCTCTCCTCGGGCAGGTGCACCGCGTGCGGGACCTTCCCCCACAGGCAGAGCGGCCGCGTGCCCTGCGGTGGACGGTGGCGATGCAGACAGCGGGCCGGGTGCCTTCTCGTGCTTCTCCCTCTGCCGAGAGCCGAGACGGTGGCTGGGTTTCAGCCCAGTCCCAGGGATGAGAGCAGCAGACTGAAGCCCATCCCAGCAGGGAATCGGGTCGACAGGGGCCCCAGCGTGAAGCAGGGTCATCCCGCAAAGGCATGTGTGAGGCTGATTATCACAAGCATCTGGCACATGGGGCGAGGAAGCAACAGCGGCAGCCATGCAGATGGCACTGGGTTCGAGTCTCCTCCGTGAAGGCCAGCTACGCGACTCTCCCACTGCTGTACTCCCAGAGCCTGCCAGAGCTCTGGGCTCACGGGAGGCGTCTGGAGAGCACCTGCTGCAGTTGCATGTATGTGTTTCTCCTAAAAGCAGTGACGTAAGTCCAGGACTCTACCCATGCAGTTGGCCACGTGGGATCCAGCCACCCTAACCACCATGCCATGGACTAACCCAGCCATTAAGTTTTCTTTTCTTTTCTTTTTAGAAGTATTTAACTTCATTTATTTTAATTTGACCAGAAAGGAACAGAGAGAGATGGAAAGTGAGAAAGCAAGCCGCCAGATCCGGGACTTGAACTGCGGTTGGCCATGTGGGAATTCAGCGCCCTTAGCACCACACCACCTGTCGGCTCCCCCAGTCCTTGAATTTTAAAAGAAAGGTAAAAATGTGTCATAAGTGAACAGTAACTTGATAGATTTTTAGAAAATAGGCAGAGATACAAGTAATTATTCATTAAATATACTCAAAGATAAAGAAAAAGATACATGCATGTAAAAAAGAGTGACACTTTATTTATTGCATTAAAAAGCTTTATTTCACTTAAAAGGTCTGATAGAAGCCAAACTCCCCCGAAGTCACAGCTCCCCTTAGAGATCTGAACGAATGGCGCTGCTGAGCCGAGCGTCTGGGTAAAGGAGGGCCTCCGCCATGGCCCTTTTCCCACAGGAGTCGAGAGCACAGGCTGGTACCCCTTATCTCGGCCGTCACCTCCCACGCGGAAGTGTGGAAAGTAGCCTGGCTCCTCTGCGTCCGTGAGAAGGCAAAGCCCTGCGGACGAGGGCCTGCGTCCTCCTCGGCAGCAAGGTGTGACTCCAAGGAGCCTACGTGCTGCCTGTCTGCTCGCTCACGTAGCCCATGGACTCGCCCCAACACTGGTGGTGTTCAAATGCTGTGTGGGTGTGCCCTTGTCAGGTGCAGGCGTGAGGAAGGCGCTGACCGAGCTGGGAGACAGGCCACCTCGGGGGCAATTGCCAAGCAGCCCAGAGCCCTCCTGGCTGGCTGGCAGTTCAACCACCGCCTCACCCACGTGCCTAGAAAAAGCATCGTTCACGTGGGAGCGAGGTAGGGTCTGAGTCCCGGGGCATGGGAGGGAGCTGAGGGCAGCCCGCTCCCTTCCAGCTACACCCTGGGTTTCACTGGGCGTGGAACATCTAACAGTGTGCCTAACGAGGCCTTCTGGAGACCTCCTCGGCAGAGGCGGCAAACCACCTGTAAAAGAGAAGACACGGCAGGGGGTGTGAGCTCAGCCCGGGCCCTCGGGCAGACGGCAGCAGGAGGGAGGCTTCGACTCCAGCTAAGGAAGACCTTTCTGACCGCCAGAGCTGCCCGACACCTGGACGGACGGCTTGGTGAGGTAGTCACGGGAAGGGGTCAGGTGGAAAGATCACCCCTGCAGAGGGGAACGCCTGCCTTCGCTAAGAGGTTAGACTGATGAACCTCAGGTTGCTTTCAATTCTGAGGTTCTAGAAAGTTCCCTCAGGGAATTCAGAAGAGAATTCCTAAAAGGAAAGAGAAAGCACACAGATGTATACTTTTAGAATCTGCTTGAGTTTTCTTTTTTTCAAAAGGTACAGTAGAAATGTAGTCCACTGTCTTTAAAATGCATATTCACCTTCCTAGCAGTAATAGTTAGGAAGGGCTCCTCATGATTCTTCACATTATAAAGACAAGGTGGAGGATTACATTTATCATTTCTGTAAATACTTTAGAAAAAAAGGCTTAAAATCTAGTAGTCAATGCCCTAGAAACTTTATAGATTTTTAGATAATATGCACAGATACAAATACATTATTCATTAAATACAACTCACATCTGTGTTTTATTATACTCTAAAATATACAGGAATCTTGATGTACTGAAAGAGTGCAAGTAGATACAGTATTCAAGCAATCACTATTTCTATGTACATGCTCAGTAATTCTTCAAAAACCCCACAAAATTATCAAATAGATCAAAATACTGTTCTGTGTTTTCACACTTTATATTCAGAAAAACCAGCTGATAATTTACAATGTTGGAAGGTTTCCAGTTTCACAATACAAAAAGGATAAAATAAAATTGGATATCATTTTGTTGCCACTTACAGAACTTTACCCAGACCTGTAAGACTCCTCACCCAGGTGAGGTCATTGTCACTGGGAAAGTGACATTACAGTGAAAGCAGAACCACGTAACTGTGAGTAAGAGCCTCAGTGTAGGCCTTCTCTCTGGTGAACGGTGGTCTCCAATCTGGCAGGCTACTGTCTCTCTCCAAATACGACAGATGATACACGCTACCTTCAATCTGAGTAGGACCAAAGCTTTCCTGTTTTAAATCTTGCCCAACACAGAAACGCCTTCCGAGAGACTGCATGAAGTTTGACGTATGCGTAGCGGGGCAGTCTTCCTTCTGACTCTTCCCTTTTTCAAAGTCACATAAAAGACAACCAGAGTCTCCCAGCCCAGTGTGGAGGCCAAAGGAGCCTAAGTGATGGCTGCACCGTCCGAAGTCTCAGGGCAGAAAATTCTACTCTCCAGGACCCCTGGGCTGCAATAGGGTGAAATAACTGCTTTTTGATTTTGTGAAGTATTTTTTAGGAAATTCTTTATATTTTTAAACAAAAATAGTTCAATTTTAAACCCATACCATTCAAAACAGGGCAGAGACGGATGCCAACCCATGGCGTGTCTATGTCACAAGTACTCTCACCCATACTGCACCCAGTCAGCTGGTTTTCAAGTCTAATATAGAAATTGGAATTTTTATGTAAAAGAAAAAATGTAAAAATACATCTGCTTTCTCTCATGGGTTTAGTACAGTATTGGAAGGCTTTCAGATGTTTTCTTTAAAAAAAAAATTAAAACCAAATCTCAAGTTTCGTTTTCAGAAATATTAAAGTTTGGTTTAGATAATGTCTCATTTCATCTCCTCCAGTTTCCACAAAATGACATTCTATTAAAAAAAAAAACACCTTTTAAGTTATTTGGTCCCTTTGGCAATTTGCTGTGCACATAATGCCTACTGTACCAAACGTTTATTGCCTTTAAATTTAGTTGCAATTTTATTGAGAAAATTTAAACCTAGTGTCCTTATCTCTTCTTTCACGATAGTGTTGCTTGTGTAAGCAGCTTGGGGTACAGTGTCCCGAATTATTCTGGCACTGCAAAACCAAATTAAACAATTCCACAAAGCAATCTGACATCAGTGTGTTTTCCTCTGGTCAAGTCTGTTTCAAGATTCTAGAAGTTTCTTTTGCAAAACTTGCCTTTAAACTGTCCCCTAACGTCATCGCGTCTCCGACGCCGTTCGCTGTGCGGTCTTCTCCTCTCAGGTTGGACTTGGACGTGATTAAGAAAGTGCCTTTGTCCTGGAAAAGGGTTTGCAGGGCTCGGCTGCGAAGGCCCCGGCCGGCCGGCCTGCCTCTCAGGAGGTCGCCGAGTCGGGCTCGTTTAG